TTTTTCCAGTGGGAGAGGGAAGAGAAACCCCGTCAACCAGGGCCCCCGCAGCAGCATCCGCAGCAGCATCCCCCGGCCACAGCCCGGCGCGTCCGAGGCGGCACCGCTCTGCACGCACAGCAAAACAAGATGGGCATAGGTGGGGTGGAGAAGACTCTAATAAACTGAGCAGAGAGAACATTCTGGGGTTCCCTCTTTGCCTTCAGCCTGACTCAGGCCTAGGTTTCTGAGAAGTGAAGCTGGATGTGGCCAACAGCCGCTGCTCCCAAGCTCGCTCCCAGCCTCGGGCAGAGATGTGGTGAGGTTTAGAGCTTGAGGCAGCCCCTCTACATTTAACAGCCCTCAGTGGACTTTTCATCCATTAATTAACCCAGGTACTTGTTGAAGTGAACTTCTAGCAGCAGCCAAGCGTCCACACGCACTGTGAAGGAGCATCTTCTTCAGTGCTTTCCAACACCTCTGTGCCCCCTCCGGTACGTGTCCCAGGGGAAGGGCCCCAGAAAAAACAACTCACCATTTGCTTGCCCTGTGTCACTTCTGATTTTGCAGCTTTCCCACATCCTCCTCCTCCACCCAGGCTCTGGGTGCCCTCTCCGCTGAGCACCTCCTGACACAGGAGCCCTTTCGAACCCTGCATTACCTCCCACTGCCCAACTCGGAACTGCTTTCAACTCAAACTCATTTTTGAGACTGAGGTCCCAGAGCTACGCAGCGTAGTCAGGGTGTGGGCAGCCACAGCAATGTCCTCGCTTTTATCCTCAGTTCCTTTCCTGATAAATCTCGGTGTTTTCATCGCCACTAACACAGAGATGATGTTTTCAGAAGCCGCCCACGATGAGCCACTGTAACACCAATCCCCAACTCCCCACGCAGACGACAGAGCCTCGTAAAGCGAAGGGTGGACATCGGCAGAGAAATCAGTGGGGCACGCAAGACCCTACATCAAACGCGCATCAGCCGTAGCAACACTTCTCCATTTAAAGCACCCAGCGCCTCTGCAGCAATGCCAACAGAGAAACCTGCACGCCTGTTTGCTTCTGCCAGGCACGGACCCTTCCAGGTGATTATCGAGAGCATTTGTACAATGGGCTGTTCAAGCTCCTCCGTCGACATTATCAGATATTCTTTACAGCCTGTTCTGTTTACATGATACACATTTGCCAAGAGCTAAATGCTTTCAATGACAATAATCTACTACAAGTTGCTCATTCAGAATAAAGTTCTCCTCTTTCCTTTACTGTGATGCTTTCCAGTAATAAAAGCAGCCGGTCCCAAAATGCGTCAGGACTTACTCTTAACTGGAATTGAAATACGGAAATCTGGGAAAAAAATCCCATCTGCACTTCTTGAGATGTGCTCTAAAGCCAGAGAAAGTCAGCAGCAGCAATATCACTCCCCCAGTGCAACGCCCGGAGATCTTCAGCCTCGGGTCAGGTCTCCTGCAGCTACAAAAACATATTGCTCTTCTCCCTCCATAAACCTACACGAATTTGCACCAGCTGAACACAAGCTCTACCAGACATAACTACTCATTGATCTACAGTTCAGATAATGTACCTAAGGTGTGTAAATCTGCTTGAAGAGCACGTCCTGGGTGCTACGTCAATTGTTGCTATAAAACAAGGAGGTTTATGAATACCTGTTGTTTCGTTAATCATCGATTTATTTCTGAAACCTACATACTAGAAGTCAGATCAACTTTAGGAGAAAAAGGATGAGAGATACAATTTTATGAGAAGATAAAAAAAGACGTTTATTGTATATAACCATTATAGTTCCTCCTTCAGATGTTTCAACGTCTACAGAAATTTAAAGAGCTCTCTGTATTTCCCTCCCTCCTCTATAGCGATGATTGCCTTTAGATATATACACCAGTTACAGTAATATAACTGAAAATGATGACATGCCATAGGTATTTTATTATGCGTTCGGTTTTTTAGGACTTGGATTATAACTGCATCGCACAAGCCTGGTGAGTAAAGCTGAGAGAACTTCTGCAAAGACAGCAAAACTGACAATTTCCCATTTCATACCACCTTCTCAAAAGCACTAAACATATCTCCCTCTTAAACGTTACAGGTCTTCTAAATTTGATACCAATGAACACATTTTTCCCTTTATAGGTGTCACAGAAAGAGCCGAGCAAATCCACTCACCGCGCAGATGGCTGCACCGCGACCGAGGCGTTCCCCCCGACCAAACAACACCCAAGCAGCCCAGGCACCTGCTTCCCCAGGGTGCTCGGTTTTTAGGCAGATATTTCTCAATTTTACTGCTCAGAAAGATGCTGAGAAGAGGGGAGGAGAGGAGCGATTCGGCGGCTAAGTGTCCCTTGCAAAAAAATGAAAATGCAGTTGCTGTAGATGTTTTTAAAGACAATTTCAGAAAGAAGAAGTCCTTTCTAGTTGCATTCGAAGCAGAATATACAGCCAAGCTGCCTGGCCTGACGCATCACTCTCTCCCAAGAAGAGTAGCTTCTGGACACATGGAAGGTACACCCGCTCCATCTCCCACCCCATCGATACACGTTCTTGTCCAGCCACCTGGACAAGGTCCTCTGCAGCCTGCTGTAGGTGACCCTGCTTCGGCAGGGGGTTGGA